CCCAGAATTGGCTGGCTGGGGAATTCTGGGAGTTGAAGTCCACACCTCTTAAAGCGGCCAAGGTGGAGAAACATTGCCTTAAAGAGCTGCAGACAGGGACTCTGGTTGTGCCTCCACGTACCTTGAAACTCCCAAGTCCTTGGGGTGCAAAATGATTGCTGGAATCATTGATGCTCATTGTCTGTACGCTAAACCAGCATTTCAGGAAGCAGGGGAGTCTGCAGGCTATAGTCAAAAAGGTCAAGATGGTGACCAAAGGCCAGCTTTATGCTAAGTCTGAGAAGGCGCCAGCCTGAGGGGCTGCCCTTTCTTTTGAATCCTTCTGAAAATTGGGTGGGAGGTGGTGTCTTCAATGCGGCCTAAGGGTGCCATATTGCTTCAGCTGTGGTGGTTGAGGCGATGCAACTGAAGCTCCACCTGGTTTGCATGAGTGTTGCACACATGATGTACGAATGGAGCTTCCATCACATTGTTGCACCACCATCTTGATGTTTGGGACCATTCCCTGCAGATACTGCTGTCGGGAGGGGTGGAAGGTAGTCCACCTCGCCTGAAGGTCTCCCGATTCCCTAGACTGATCCTTTCTGTCCTCCAGCAGGAATGAGACCCTCTACTGGGCCTTTTGTAAAGGACAACTCTGCAAAAGTTCAGGCCACCTCGTACATGTGGCCATGTTCCATGCATCTGCCTTGGCTCACCTTGGAAGAGGCTCACGCAGCAGGTTAAGAAGGCCCCGGCTAGGAAGCACCCCAAAGAGCCACTGAGTCCCAGCCAGCATGACCAGCCAAATTTATACTGGATGCCCACAAAGACATTGTGCAAGACCAGGGTGGAGCGCTCCACGTAGACCCCGACAGCATACCAGATGGAGCCGATGAGCCCGGGGAGACCTATGAGAAAGAGAGAGAAGAAGCTGTAGGGTTCCTATCCAGCACCACAGACTCCTAGAGCTGGAAGGGAGGTTGGAGGTCTTGTAGTCCAACCCCTGCTGAGAGCAGGACTCCCCAGACCATCTCACACCAAATGGCTGTCCAACCTTGACTTGAAACCTCCACTGATGGAGACCCCAGGACTCCAGGAGGCTGTTCCATGTCCAAACTCAGTTATGGTCATCCCTGTTCCTAAACCGAGCTCCCCGGCTTTCGTACCTGGAGCAGAGCTCCCCAGGGGCAAGGCCATGTCTTACTTTAGAGCAGCTTTTCTCAACCTTAGCAACTTTAAGACGTGTGGACTTCAACTCCCAGAATTCCCCAGCCATCCATGCTTAAAGTTGCTAAGGTTGAGAAATGCTGCTTTAGGACTACGGGAGGATTCTTCAGGACTGAAGCTCTGAAGCCACAGAAGCAGCATTGGACCAGGTGCATGGAAGCGTGTACACACGTGTCTCTCCAGCACGAGAGCTCAGATCAGGTGCGCTCTCCCTTCTCCCTTCACATGGAAGGTCTCTTTAGCACGACTTATGCCCAGCCCTTCTGCACATGGTTGAAGGCACTCAGCTTGGCTGGAGCTTTCAGGGCAGGGGGGAGAGGGGGGGGGAGTTCAGAAGCCCAACCAACTAGAAAGGAACCAGCCGCATCCCAGCCTTGGGGCTGCAGCCAAACGGGTCAAAAATGAAGATTTTCTTTCTCAGCCCCCAACAGGGCAAAAGAAAAGTCCTGCATGTTAGAATTCAAAAATGGCATGCCCTTTGAGGCCTGTCAAGATTCATGTTTTCTTTTTCCTTTGATTTTATTACCCTTCCTTCCTTCCTTCCTTCCTTCCTTCCTTC